TTTATTTTATTTCTTTAAAACTTTGCAGCAATTATTGTCTGTATGATTTTTAACTTGAAATTTTATTGTAGGAGCTGGATTTTCCATAAAATCTGAAAACTAACAACAGAATCAAAATGGCTATGAGTCCATTGCCATGGAATTTGACGTCGAGCTCTTGAGGAAGTACTATATTCTATTTTATTCTTATCCCGAATATCCACGGGACACAATTGAAGCCACCATAGCAGATCACTGCAAATGAAATAATATTGAAATATGCTTAAAAGAATTTATCAAATTTTATTAAACTCAATTTTCGATCAATTGGAAATGTATGCATGATGAGAAAGATAATATTCGTTATAATAATAGCGAATGAGAGGATGAATGTGGCAGCATGTCATTTAAACTTTAACTTAAAATTTCATCCCTAAGCGGTACTCCTTTTTATCTCCATTTGCATTATCCATTTTATTTCATCCCTCTTTGATTGGCAATTTTTTCATTCTCAAATTCTGTGTTAAAATTTCATCCTGCGTAGTCGAGATATTCTAAGCAAACCATCTGACGAGTTATGTTCCATCTTATTTTAATAATTCAATAATATTTCAAATATGAAAATGAAGCTAACTTATCATCGAGTACAGCTTGCCATTTGCGTACAATTTGTGTGCCAGTAAAAAATGTTGACGATCGATGGTGCTCATTTAGAAATTTGGTATCACTACAATCATTCATCCGAATTTTAATTGATTTATCACTACAACAAAGCAATTCCCATACACTGAATGTTTCGGAACTATCCTCAACAATTCTGACACCCGCTGTATACTGCAAGCAATAATACAATGACATTAAAGAGGTCAAATTTATTTTTTTAAAAAAAAAAAGAAACACCGGGTCATTTGAATTGTACTGTAGTTGAAAGCAATTGAAATAATATTACTTATTTATGCTATGATAGATAATCAAAAATTGAAATGAAAGTGATGTTTTGTTGATCTTATTGATTTTAGCTATCAATTATGGCGCATAATTTAAATTTCCTCAACAGTTCCTATTGCAAAACTTTTTAGAAAAAGCGACAACTGTGTTAATGATGGGAAAGTTTGTGTGTGATATGTAATCAGATGATAATGAATTGCCCTTTGCTTTCATTTTAACTTCATCACGATCTTATCATTGAAATTGATCGAATCAAGAAAATGAGAGAAAAAAATTTTTTAGAAAATGCAATTTTTTTTAATTCTTGTGTTCATGTGAAGTGAATGGTGGATTATCATTTTGAACAAGATAATGGGATTGAGTTAGCTTAGCTATTCCTTCCCAATACTAATCAATAATTAATTCTATTCTCGATAGGCAAAAATTAGGAGCAATACTGATTTGATCTTTTAGCAATATTATTGATTAAAAAATATGCTTACAATTGAGAGTAATCGTACAATTCTGCTATTGATGGACTGAGAGTTCTTACCTGATCACTTCCGCAGCTTAAATATATGTCATCTGATTGGGATGACGCACTATCCGATATCCTACACGTTTCATTCATCCGCTGCAAAAAATAAACCAATCAATGATTATTGATTAATTCATCTACGCATCTATTTTAAATCGAATAAATTATAATTAATAAATTATAAGTAATGAATTATAATTTCAAATATTCGAATGCCATTATAGATTAAATATAAAATTATTTAATCAATATTGAATAATTCATCTATGTATCTATTTGAAATCATTATTTCGAAAAATGAACATTAAAATTGAATTGGAAAGAACGAACCATATAAATATTATCGAACGCTGAACATGCAAATTTGTAATAACGTTCTTTGCCAACGAATGCAGTGTTGAAAGTTGATAAATAAAAACCTTCAGGGCACTGGAAAGTTGTTGATACATAAGGACGAACTGTCTCAAATAGTAAGCTAATATAGGCTGCTATTTGCCAGATCGTTTCTTTACTGTAAATTAGACATAAGATTTTAAGATTATGAACTTTTATATCTTTTTACTTGTTAAGTGAAAGTAATTTTCATTTGAGATCTGATTTAATAAATCACAGCCGAGATTTTTAATTAAAAGATTAAGATTTCAGGGATAATTCAAATCCGAAATTATCTTCATCAGGAACTTCCAAAATTATAGTGAAGTTATCATTTATAAATCGAGAAATGAAATTATCACTTATAAATCGAACCTTTTCATTTTTGATAGAAAAAAATTAAGCCAACAATTAATTATTTCAATATACGAAATTTCTTAATTGAGCGAATTTCATTGTATCATCAAGTTCTAAAAAGTAAACATACATGGAAACAAAATTGAAATTATTTTCCGAAAATATAACACAAATTTCCGTCGATACAATTTTAAGAACGATCAAAATTTTTGACTGCAAAATTGAGAGAATAAAATTTTGGCCCGAAATGAAGCGCAAAAATCGCACCAACAATAACAATAGTAAAACTGACAATACTAATAATAATAACAACAATAATAACAATGATAATAACAATAATATTAATGATAATAACAATAGTATTAATGATAATAGTAATAATAA